TGGGCTAATCTGCTCATGTTTGGAAAGTAGTAGTCACGCAAGATTTGTTTGACATTTTCTTGGGCTGCTCTGTGCGCCCTGTTGTGCTCGCTATTTATTATTTCCAACTGATCGCTTTTACCCGTTATGTCTTGTACGAGATTTTTACAAAACCGGAATTTTGTAGAAGGGAAATGGGCAATCAGTTCGTGTTGGAAACTTGCTAATGTGGGAAGGTTGCAATGGATCGCGTTCACAACCTCCGTATTTACAACTTCCTTGAGGGTTTCTAAAATGCTGCTCTTAGCAGTAAAATTGATCAAGTGGCGAGTTTTGTTGCGGAATAAAACTATGGTGCGTTTCAATGGGAAACGCGCTTCTTCCAGAACGATCTGGTTTCTGAAGCAGTTTAACGGTTTGTCCGTGGCCTCGACCGTGTAGGTCAGTGAAATTTCGCTGTGAACGGTTGCAGCGTCCGATTGGGGCTCATTTTGTAGGGCATTAAGATTTTGTCTAGACAATGCATCTGCTACAGAATTTTCTTTGCCAGGCTTGTAGCAAACTTTGGCGTTGTATTGGTCGATGTAGGCTTTCCATCTTTTTATTTTGGCTTTGGTATTTTTGTCTGCTACTGCAAAGGTGAGAGGCTGGTGGTCAGTGAAAATGTTAATTTCTCTTGAGCCGTATAGGTAGTTTTGCAATTTACCTAAAGCCCACACGATAGCTAGCAACTCCCTTTCGTTGGTTGCGTAGTTCAGCTCTGGACTTTTTAGGGTACGAGAAATCATGGTAATGGGTCTGCCTTCTTGGGATAGGACTGCGCCGATTCCGTTTGCTGAGGCATCAGTGGTTAGGTCAAAAGCTTTTTTGAAATCTGGGTACATCAAAATTACGTCTTCTGACGCCAAGATGTTGCGCAGGCGTTGAAACGCGTTGCGCTGGGTTTCATTGAACTCGACTGCTATTTTCTTTGACCTATGCTTACTCACCGAACCATTTTCTCCTTTTAGAATGTCGCTTATTGGGCGAGCTATGGATGCAAAGTCTTTTATGAAGACTCTGTAATAGCTTGCCAGACCCAGGAAAGATCTGACACTGTAGACGCTTTTGGGTTCGGGGTACTCTTGAATGGCCTTGACCTTCTTTGGGTCGGATCTGGTGCCGTCTTTGCTTACGATGAAACCAAGATACTCTACGCTTTCTTTAAAAAAGTTGGTTTTCTCCTGGCTCACCATCATATTGGCTTCAATCAGGCACTTGAGTACTGTGTCAATGTGCCTGACATGGTCTACTTCGTTTTTTGAGAAAACTATGACATCGTCTACGTAGACGTAACAAATTTTCCCAATATGTTCCCTTAGAACATCATCGATTGCCCTTTGGAAGATGCTGCCCGCATTCTTAAGACCGAATGGCAGTCGGCAGAATTCATATTTGCCACCGCAAACAGAGAATGCTGTTTTTTCGCGGTCATGTTCTGCAAGGTATATTTGGTGATACCCTGACTTTAGATCAAGGGTAGTGAAGTATTTAGCGTTTTCCAGGTTCGCTAGAATCATGGGAATGCTGGGCATCGGGTAACGGTCAGGTATAGTCTTCTCGTTCAGTTTCCTGAAGTCGATGACTAATCTTTTGTTTGCGTTGCCATAGGCGTCTGTGCCTTTTTTGTCAACAACCCACGTTGGGCTTTTGTAGGGCGACCTTGATGGTCTAATGATGCCGTCTTTTAGTAGTTGCTTGACCTCATTATTTATGAAGTCGGACACGCCCATTAGACTTGGGTAACTTCTGGCATATATTGGCTCGTTGTCAATCGTACGGATTGTGGCGGTGACAGAGGTGCTGAAAGGGAGTGCTTCTTCCGTTGTTGAAAAGGCCTTTTTCCTCTTAAGTATCATGTTCCTGAACTCTTTTTGATAGAGATAGGAACTACGATGTCGTTTAAATCGGTGAAATTTACATCAGTGCACTTCTGGTATTGAATTTCTTCAGAAATGCCCTGATACTCTAGTAGACTCTTTGCAAGGTTCAACTGTACCCCGGCTTGTGTTAACAAGTCGAATCCAATAATGGCATCGAACGAACTAAGTGTGCCTAATAGAAAAAAGGGGGAAGTGTGATTAAAAATGTTTATCAGGCATTTTTCCTTTATTTCAGTGGACCCGTGGATCGAATTCACCGAGAAGGGTTTGGCGACCGGCAATATGGTTTTCAGCTCCTTTACGGGCTTAACATAGTATTTTGCCGCGCCAGTATCGATTAGCATTTTTAATGTTCTCCCAGCCAACCGTCGTTCGATGAACGGTAACCGGGAGTGTTCCCTAAAAAATGGACAGAGTCGGCTTGATCGTACTCTTCCTCGCTGTCAATTTCTTCGACAGCAGCCTTTGCGGCTTTTTCGTATGCTACGTTTTGTTCTTCGGAATCCGTTTGAACAATGTTGTTAAGACGTTGCCGTCTTGGACCTGTTTGTCGCTCTGAGGAGTTCCTCCTCTTAGTAGCGTTTGACCCATTTGGTTGGTTCTGGTTGTATTCCGTTCGCTGCCTAAATTTGGAAGAAGAATCTACCTCCATCGGTTGTGGAGCTGGCTCTTGGCTTTCTTTATTAGGTTGCTCCTTTGGAGCATTTTTCTTGTGTTTGTAATGGGGGTTTCTATCTTGACCGTGGTCTTCCTTGTAGTTTTTATTCTGTTTACCATATGGTTTGTGTTTGCCGTTTTCAGCTGTTTGGGATCGTTCCTCAACAACTTTAGCATAGGAGTTTGCAAACATGCTTCTCTCAATGCTGGCTTCTGTTTCTATGGCGAGGGCTAGCGCAGAGGGTAAGTCTTTGGGTTGCGCTGGGAATACGACAGCTCTGAGCTGTTTCCTCAAGCCTGATATGAAGGAGTGCAAGGCATCGGCTCTAACTTCAGCGTTAAGCAAATCAGCGCCTTCTTGTTCGTGTGACATAACAATTTTATTAGTTACCAGAGTTAGTCTCTTTTCGACCTCATCATAGTATTGCATAAGTGTCATTTCACCCTGTCTGACCATGTCTAAGTTTTGCCTCAGTAGGCGTAAGGACGTTCGGTCGGCATAGGTGCAATCTAGTCTAGCCAGGATGGCGTCGAAATTTAGCACCGTGTTGTAGGAGATAAGTAAGGCTCCAGCAGGCCCTGTGACCTTGTTCCTAAGAATGGCTACTGCTTGGTAGTGTTCGCTACTACCGTCGAATGGCTTAAAAAGTTCATACGCATCGATTGCTGCTTGTCTCCAAGCAACATATTGGTCTTGTGCACCAGAGAAGTCTGGTACTGATTTTATTATGTCGAGTTTTATGTCACATTTTACCCCAGGAACAAGTTATCTTTTGGTAAGAGACGACTGCTGGCGTTTTCACTTGCAACCTTTGTATTTCCTGAGTTATTGAATTTATCTGGGACTGTTGTTGCGACAGTGCCGATCTAACGGCATTGTCAATGAGAGCTTGAATCTGTGAAGTGTCCATTGTGTTAGCTACCTGATATTCTGGGCACCAACCAACTTGTTCTTCGCCTATACTATCGTCACTGTTGTACTCGGTCTTTATTTCCCTATAGGTGTTCCAGCTCATTTGTTAACCTCGATACTTGTATGAAAACTTTTTCGCATTAGGCATATAATTGTTTTAGTAGCAGTTGTTTATTTATAATAAAACCTGCATTAAAGGTATGCAATGGTTTTATTCTTAGTGAGGGTATGCAATGGTTTTTATTTTTAGTTAAAGTATGCAATGGTTTTTATTTTTTATTTTTGGTGAAAGTATGCAATTGTTTTTTTTTTGGCAAAATGTGTATTTCTTTTCGCAACTTCTATTCTTGTGTGTTTTTTTCTTTGCTATTTAAATTCACTTGACAAACTTACATGTTTTTGTGTTATTGCCTATGAACTTGGTGGGTGTTAGGACGTTTGGGCGCCAGTTATTTATGTGTCGTAGCAGGTAGCCGTGGGGATCCCGCGTAGCTGCTGATTGTGAATTCCAGATCCAGCGTCGTTTCCGTGAGGAAGTCGATCCAAGGTAAACACTGATACGATTTTTATGATGATTACGTTGGAGGACTTGACTTCGTCCCCTTTGGTGATTATGGCCCTTGTGGTGCAATAATGTGATCAATAAGAACAAATGTTACGGTTATGAGCCGGAGTACGAAATAGACAACTTGTGTCTTTTTTATTAAAAAACGAACTGAAGCTTAAGACAAATGCAAAACATAATTCTACTTAGCAAAGTCAATGCGTCGCGCCATCGGACCACAGTCGGCATGCCGACTCAGCATTCTCAGCGTCGCAGCACACCAGCAAAGAAGTGTCATGCGATCGCTGCCGATTGCTGCCAGTGCAGAGCACTGAACTCACAACTTGGCGTGTCAGCATCATTCATGTGTTGTTGCTTAGTTGCTATAGTATTTATGTGTTAACTTACACACTATGGGGTCGGAGATTTTTCCTTCTGTCTGTTACACACACATAGAAATATATTATACAGTTTTTACCCATTTTTAATGGGCTCAAGGTATAAAAACCAGCTACCGAAGCACTTGTTATGTGTAATATTAATTTCAGATACTAAATAAGAACATTGGTTTCAAGTTACTTTGCGAATTTTAAAGTAAGATTGTTTTTCGCATGAATTCTCTCTTCATCTTGTCTATACTGCCGTTTTTATGACAATATGCCTCAGCCTGCCTTTGAGCTGTGTTACAATTTTGATGACTAGAAATAATTGTGACGGATGTTTAAGTCTGGATTACCAGAAGTGTAAATTTGGGGTTTGGCTTAGAATTCTGCGTTTATTTGTAATTTTGTAGTACTTATGTACTCTTATATGCTAATGCCACAAACATATGTAGACCATATTTAATGTTATATATGGTATTTTTGTTAAAAAAAAGACTCGTCGGCATTTGCCATTTGTCATTTAAGCGATATACAAATGTTCTAGTATACTAGTATCTAACTTTTCAGTAAAAAACAAATAGTCAGTATAGGAATGAACATACTTGTTGATGTAGGATTGAATAACGTGCAATTGCAAGTTTTCATCTCCATTTCGCTCCTGATTTGTGACATGCAAGTGGAAAAGCTGGAATTAAGAAGAGCACTGTGATTATTTATATACAAGACTTTTGATTGGTATTAAATATTTTACATTGCCCATTTTCAATGGGTACAAGGGTATATTGTATTTGTGCAAATGTATGTAACAGGCAGAAGGAAACATCTCTGACCACATAAAGTATATATATTCTTGATCAGCATCAATTGCCGAGTCGATCTAGCCATGCCCGTCTGTCCATATGTATGAACGCAAGGATATCAGAACCTATAAGGGCTAGAGACTTGAAATTTTAGCTATAGGTCCTCCTAGTGCGCAGATCGTGATTGTTTCCGATAATCGATAACTTTCTCCTCTTTTAAGTAAATCGATATCGAAATTCTACTTTTTGAGCAAATTGGGTATATATTAAGAGCTAGAGTCACAAAACTTGATATGTTGCTTCCAGAATATTATTTATATGTGAACTATCCTTCATTTTATACTTGTCGCCACCTCCCCACTACCACCCCAGAGCTATAAATCAAGTTAATAACCCAACTTGTATTGCCCACCAATTTAAGCCATAATTTAAATGCAGTTGCCTTTTTGAGAATACACAAATATTCTATGGTACAATAAGATATACTGTAGAAAATTTTATTCAGATCGGTTAAGAAACACCGAAAAACTTTGTGTTTTGAATGCGCGCGTGTTTGCGGCAGCTAGCGCAAATTCCAAGAATTTCTGTGTACACACACACATTCATTCGCGTCTGCTTCGAATTCTATTAACAGCATTGCAATTTTCTGTGTTGCTATTTTAATTCATTGTTTTCTCAGTAAGATTTAATTATTGGCGTGGCTGTTGATTAGATGCGGCGGCAAGTGGAGCGGTATGTTGGAAGTTCGAGCCCTAGAGAGGAAACTTATTTCTTTTTCTTTTGGAGTAGAGTCAGCAGAATTTTCGAAGCAAATTTTAAATGGAAAACAATCGCAATCGCATAAAACTTACTTCAAGCATATTTAAAATGACTTATTCAAATCGCGAATTTGCAAACATTATGACTAACCATAATAATAATTTTCCCCAATTGCCAGAGGGCAATGCGGATCAGCCCACTGCTGATAACGGCTCTATTAATGAACAACCGACCAATCCGTCACCGCGCCACTTGCTAATACAGCAAAAAAAAACGCAAGCTGCCCAACTCTCCAGCTTTAAACATAAAAAAAAACAGCTACAAACAATAATAACACCATCAATGCCACCAATGCTACCGCCGCCAACAACTCGGCACTAATCGACAATAATCCTTTAGAAGGTAACCCATTCGCCATTCTAGCAGAAGATGAAACACCTGATACGGATCTAGATGAGTTATATCCTGGTCTTGTTCCACCTCAAAACCATATCCTCGAAAGTGAGCTTCCCAGTACCAGTGCCGCTGCTGCCCGCGCACGGTTAACTGCCGGATCACAGTCTAACAATAACACTCCTGGAAACACAGCCAAAAAAACCTCGAAGCCGCCACCTATTGTCATTCACGACGTAGTCAATCTTCAAGAGCTTTTGATCTGTATAGAAGAAGCTTGCGATTTGGACAACATTGAAGTCAAATCCTCGATGGGAGGAATAACAAGAATTTACGCCAAAGATTCTGAAAGCTATCGAGCAACTGTCCGTCAGCTAAACGCATATAAAATTGAGTTTCATTCGTACCAATTAAAAGAGGACAAGCCTTATAAGGTGGTTATTCTAGGACTATCCCCCAGCACATCTAAGACACAGATTGAGGACCAACTAAAAAAATTGGGCCATTAAGCTTTAAACATCTACAACCCCAAATCAAGGAAGACAGGCAATCCTATGAACATGTTTTTCATAAGTCTAGTCCCCAAAGAAAATAACAAAAAGAGTGCAGGACCCTCGAGCACATATACTGCTTTTGCGCCATCCCCTTACGTAAAAGCAACTGGAATCTCCTATGCAGACATGGCACGTAGTCATGCAAACAGAGGTCCCAAAAGGCAGGCTCCACTTAATGCTACCAATCATTTTAATAGTGATACACATAACTACCAACAACAACACCAAGGGCACACAACCCAGCGAGTACATTTGCGACAACAGCCGCAAAATAATCAAGCTCAATCGCCTTTCACCTTTTCCCAGTGGGAGAACGAAGCGGCTCATGAGACGAAATTTGAGCAAATGATTAAAGTGATGCAAGAAAACTTTAATAAATATAAATATATAAAAATAATAAAGCAAAATAAACTATTTGAGATGCAGAGCCAAATAATGGCTCTACTTATCTCGGCCAACCAAAAATGAAGCTCAAAACACTAGTGCGGAACGCCAGGGGTCTGACTGGCAAAATGCTAGAGCTACGTAATTTCATCACAGACAACAAGATCGACATAGCCCTAATTTGTGAAATAAAAACAACTAGCAGAAGACCTATCCAACTAAATGGATTCTGTGTATACACAGCCATTCATTCTAATGACAGAGGAGCAGGAGGAGCAGCTGTTATAATACGAAGAAATATTAGGCACTTTCCTCTCGAGCCAATCGCCACAGAGCGAGTCCAGCTCTCACTTGTCAAAGTCAACACAGATCTTGGCGAAATCACGTTTGGTGCGATCTACTGTCCCCCCAGATTCACCTGGCGGAGCGACGATTTTTCTGACCTGCTCACGTGCATGAACAACAGCAAATATATTGTAGCAGGCGATTGGAACTCCAAATACCCTTAATGGGGCTCGAGATCCGTCAACGCACGGGGAAGGGAGCTTGCCTGCACTCTCCAAACGCATCAGGCTGATATCCTTGCAACAGGCGCCCTCACTTGCTACCCCAGCAGATTAGATGCCACGCCCTCATATATCGATTTTGCAATATACAAAGGCGTACCCCACGCAATGCTTAGAATATCCGATAGTTGGGACCTGGAGTCTGACCATCTTGCATCGGTCATTGACTTAGACTCCGAAGGAACTGAGATGACAACGAGCTCGCGGCTCCTAACCAGAAATGCCAATATCGCAGCATTCAGAAACTCACTGAATAGGTCCATCCATCTCAATTTGGATATAAACACCGGGGACGACATAGATCATGCGGTTGATCTCTTTACTAGTAAGGTGTTGCAAGCAGCCGAAGAAGCAAACAATAACGGTAGCAACTCTGAATCACGTTTTAATCGACCAGTACGTCGCTCTTCCCCCGAAATAGCAAACCTTTTAGCCATCAAGAGATTATTAAGAAGGCGCTACCTTCGGACCCACCATCCCGAAGACAAAATGCTTTGGCGAAGAGCTGCCAGCGAGCTGCGTGAAGCCTTACAACTTCTCCGCAACAAGCATTTTGATACATTGCTGGCGAACTTGGACTACACCGCTGACTCCCACTAATCAATATGGAAATTTACAAAAACTATCAAACGGCAACCACAGCAAGTAATTCCCCTGCTTAATAACTCTGGAGAATGGTGCAAATCATTTGAAGAACAGGCGACAACTTTTGCGGAGCACCTAGCCGAGCGATTTACGCCACTGGACACAGTGAAAACACCGAGGCAATTTTTTCAACTCCGTTACTAACGTGTCTACCAATCAAAGCCATCCGTCTAGAAGAGGTCAGCAAAACAATCCGTAAGCTTAAAAACAAGAAATCCCCAGGTCTTGATCTTATAAATAATACAGTACTGAAAGTCCTTCCAAAACGAGCAATTCTTATGCTCACGATAATATTTAATGCATGCTTAAGATTGCAACACTTCCCCACGCATTGGAAAGTCGCAAGAATAACAATGATACTGAAACCTGGAAAACCTGAAAGAAATACCGACTCATATCGACCTATAAGCCTTTTACACTCCATCTCCAAAGTCTTCGAAAGACTTATTGCTCCGCGGCTACTTGATCACTTAAACCAACATAAAACGATTCCCGAACATCAATTTGGGTTCCGCGCTGGTCATAGCACAATAGAACAAGTGCATCGGGTAACTGATCACATTTTTCAAGCGTTTGATAAAGGCGAATATTGCAACGGAGTATTTCTGGATATACAACAGGCATTCGACCGTGTTTGGCATCCAGGATTACTAGCCAAAATTAAGCAAGCCACCCCAGCTAATATGTTTAAACTACTAAAATCATTTATGGAAAATAGAAAGTTCCTGGTACAAGTCCAGGATACTCAATCGCCAATCAACCCAATACTTGCTGGAGTCCCACAAGACAGCGTTCTCGCTCCTATTCTATATACAATCTTTTCAGCCGTCATCCCACAAATTAATAATTCTGGCATGTTATTGGCTTCTTACGCCGATGATGTCTGTGTTTTAAACTCAAACACATCAGAAAGTGAAGCAACAACAGGTATTCAGCGATACCTCGATGAATTTGGTAATTGGGCCAAGAAGTGGAACATGGGAATTAACACCAGCAAATCGATTAATGTCTGTTTCACATTACGACGTAAACGAACTTCACCAGTTTCTCTCAACATGCAACCAATTCCACAAGCATCCTCGGCCAGATATCTGGACATCACCCTCGACCAACGACTTACCGAGAACATTTTAAAAAAGCTGCGACAACCTGTTATCTGAAGAGAGACAAACTTCACTGGATGTTGAACCGAAGAAGTAAGCTTCCATTACGGTGCAAAACTCAAATCTACCAGCAAATCATTGCGCCAACTTGGAGATATGGCATCCAGATTTGGGGCACAGCTGCCAAATTAAACAGAAGACGTTTCCAGACAATCCAAAATAAAGCTTTACGCCTAATAACTGGCTGCAGCTGGTATGTCAGTAATCTGACCCTTCACAGAGATCTGAATATTACGCTAATAGAAGATCAGATCTCTTTCTACTCCAGTCGCTATAACGTAAGACTGATAAACCACCAAAACAGATCTGCACAAGCCCTTGTCGGATCTATTCCTATAAATAGACTGAAGAAAAGACACTTAGGTCTTTTAAGAAATAATTAAAAACAATTCTTAAGAAGACAGCTTAGCCTTAACCTTAT